GGAAATTTTTCAACAAAAATAAATAAATTTAGATATTCAAATCAGCCGAATTTAATTACAGTGCGCGATCCATACATAGCTAGGATCAGGATTATGATTTGCCCAGGGGCGGGCTATTACATTGAGGTGTTGGCGTGTAAAAGATTTGTAATACGTTCCGTACAGACTTCAGTGAGGCCGTTGTGTGTGATCTCAGGCATCTGCCAGCCCTAATAAACGTCTGGTATATGTGTGTGTTCAATATATATCAGAGTAAACAGTCTAAAAATAGAATACGTACATGTCTGGTACAGACGATTCTGTGGAAAGCATACCCAAAACAAGAGTATAAATGGAGTGCATGATTGAATACATAGCCAGGACCACGAGCAATCTCTACACCATGTCTACAACCCTGAAAGTAACCACACACCTATTTGTAAAGTAATCCAACATAGCTGAGATTATACCCAGTATCAATAACAGAGTACTACTGCTGAACTTGAGCCTGTAGATGACGTCCATAATTCGTTCTTTCCACGTTTTCTCTTCTCTGGAATAGGTAGGTTGCGGGGCGGCACATGGTCACATGAGTACGCAAATTGACTCTCCAGTACGAAATGATACCTAGTATGAGTACGTTTTTGGATATATGTACTTCAGAAGGGTACGAGATACAAGTATAGGATGTCTTGCTAGCCTAGACTGATATATCCGTAACGGCCATAGCAGCAGTACGATCCGCGTGTCTACATCTGATTCTGCCAAGAAATAAGCCAAGGTAGACAAACATGTGCACACAGTACAGGGCCGTGATAAGAAGTGTGGACACACACGCACTGAGTTACATACGACTACAGAGACATATGCGTACAACAAATCGCTCATACGTGGGCGTAATAAAGTACATAGGCGTTTAACTATATGTATGAGCACATGCACGCATATACGCACATGCACACACGAGATGGCATACTACAAACAGCACACAATCATACAGAAAAACCTAATATACGCGTCGTTTGGACGTTCGGAAAATATGGAAAATGCTTTATATAAACCGATACACACACATCCATCAGTAAAGTATAAATCACACACACACACACATCCACAGGGATATATATCATGCTGAATGTATGAAAATGCATGCTAGAGCATATGCCTGTATACCGAGAGAAGCCTTTCAGGTATCATATCTTAGAACAGACACCAGTAAAATTGCTACTGTCTCGGATAGAAACCTCTCGTCAAGTGGATAGACAATGAGACCCTCAGTGACCAACACCAGACAGGACACAATCGAAACTCTCGGCCACGTGTGAGAATAAATGCACACGGGTGTCTACAGAAGAATAATGTTTATTAGAAACAAGTCTGATGGACACCGATAATACAGATGATCTAAATATGAAGGTATATAGATAACAAGTCTGAATGATAAAGAGAATATAGATGATTTAAATATGAAGGTATATAAATAACACGTCCGAATGAAACTGAGAATATAGATGATCTAAATATAAAGGTGTATAGATAATAAGTCCGAATGATACTGAGAATATAGATGATCCAAATATACATGTACATAAATAACAAGTCCGAATGATACTGAGAATATAGATGATTTAAATATTAAGGTATATAGATAACAAGTCCGAAGTATACTGAGACTATAGATGATCTAAATATACAAGAATATAAATAACACGACCGAATGTTACTGAGACTATAGATGATCTAAATATACAAGAATATAGATGATCTAAATATACAAGGATATAGATGATCTAATTAGAAAAGAATTTAGATAACAAGTCCGAATGATACTGAGAATATAGACGATCCTTACCAACAAATGTGACTCATACTTACAGAACTCCCGGGGCATTGTAGATGGACGTACTATCCGATTCACTTCCACTGTCCACTGAGTCTGTACGCAGTCGACCATTCGCATACAAACCTGAGCGTTGTAGTGTGTTCAAGAACGTACAGACATCGCTTGTTACTATGAGCGTACTTTTATTCCTTGTTATTATGAGCGTATATATATATCCTTTGTTACAATGAGCGTATATATATTCTATGTTACTATGAGCGTATACATATCCCTAGTTACTATGAGAGTATATATATCCCTTGTTACTATGAACGTTAATATATCCCGCGATACTATGAACGTATATATATCCCTAGTTACTATGAGAGTATATATATCGCTTGTTGCTATGAGCGTAAAAATATTTCTTGTTATTATGTCTTATATATATTCTTTGTTACTACGAGCGTATATATATCCCTAGTTACTATGAGAGTATATATATCCCTTGTTACTATGAACGCTAATATATCCCGCGTTACTATGAACGTATATAAATCCCTAGTTACTATGAGAGTATATTTATCGCTTGATACTATGAGCGTAAATATATTTCTTGTTATTATGGGCTTATCTATATTCTTGTTACTATGAGCGTATATATATCCCTAGATACCATGAGAGTATATATATCCCTCGTTACTATGAGCGTACATATATTCCTTGATATTATGGGCGTATATATATCCTTTGTTACAATGAGCGTATACATATCCCTAGTTACTATGAGACTATATATATCCCTTGTTACTATGAGCGTATATATATCCCTTGTTATTATGGGCGTATATATATCTTTTGTTACAATGAGCGTATATATATTCCTTGTTACTGTGAACGTATATACATCCCTAGTTACTATAACACTCTATATATCCCTTGTTACTATGAGCGTATTTATATCCCTGGTTACTATGGGCGTATATATACCTCTTTTTACCATGACCGTATATATGTCCCTTGCGACTATGAGCGTACATATCGCCCTTGTTATTATGAGCGTACATTTAGATGGGATAAACCCTACACTCAGAGGTTATAACTAACTCATACGAGAATGTATAACAAGTGATATACTATGGCCCACTTTTCAAGTCACCGGCAATAGAACAGAACGGTGCAGTGCCCCACAAACTTTTAAGTTGTACACTGAAGCAGCAAGAGACAAATGATTCCGGTAATAAATCCTTGCAATCGACAAACCTCACACCCAGAGCTAGCACCTAGTGTGTACGTAACTACGCGGACAGACGCGCCTGATATGTTTATCCGACGCTGGCACGTAGGGTACCTTAAAGTTGGGTTTTAGAGTTTAGGGTTTAGGGTTTAGTCCTTTTGTCGTAGTGTTTATATCATCCTCTGACCCATGTCCTCCACATGGGACTGTTATAGTAAGCATAGATACGGGACTAGACTAGTATTATTTAAACCCCAGTGGTGGCTATGAGAGGGTCCCTATTGCATACGGCAGAGACGCCAATACAGCTGCTGTACGGGTTCAGACTGAGTCTACGCAACCATCGTATGTTCTACTGCTTTTGAGATAAAGCGTTGGTATTGGTATTGGTCGTGGCACATCCTGGTCGAGAGCACTGGTACAGAGGTTACCACTGCCCACCTCAAAAGATCTTCACTTAGTATACTGTCCCCTACAGTACAGAACGTTTATGTACCGAACTGTTTGGCAAACCTTTGGACACCATGACACTGCCCACCTCGAGATGCCTTCACTTAGTACTAACTATACTGTCCCCTACAATACAGAAGACATCTCGAGATACCTTCACTTAGTACTACCTATACTGTCCCCTACAATACAGAAAACATCTCAACATACCTTCACTTAGTACTACCTATACTGTCCCCTACAATGCAGATAACATCTCGACATACCTTTACTTAGTACTACCTATACTGTCCCCTACAATACAGAAGACATCTCGACATACCTTCACTTAGTACTACCTACACTGTCCCCTACAATACAGAAGACATCTCGACATACTTTCACTTAGTACTAACTATACTGTCCCCTACAATACAGAAAAACTCGAGATACCTTCACTTAGTACTAACTATACTGTCCCCTACAATACAGAAGGTTTGCGTATCAAATTAATTGACATACCTTTGGACACCACGTGGTGAAAAGCAATCCGTTCGGTGAAGCGACGGTTGTGACTCTTTTGGGCTAACTCGTGCGACATCTGTGATAGTTGAGGGCGATTGAGGGGTGAGGCGGGGTATGAATAAACTATTATGTACTTGGATGGATACCTGTATATGAATATGAGATATGTATATACATGTGTATAGGGCGAATATATGAGAATAGATAAGCCCAAGAAGCATAGTTAAACTATATGTAGTTGAATTTATGTGTATATGTATATGAGAAGTGTATAATTTGATATATATGTGTATATGTATATGAGGTATGTATATATATGTATAAATGGCTAATATGTGAGAACAGATAAACCCAAGAAGCATAATTAAACTATATATAGTTGGATATATATAAGTGGATATATATATGAGATATGTATATATCTTTATATATATATGTTTAAGATGTAAGCAAAAATAACCCCAGGGAGTATGATTAAACTTCAAAATTTACATACATCGGTTTGATTGTCGGTGATAGCCCCGCTCACAGGCACCTGCCATAAAATACCAAGACAAATAGTAGATATATATACAGCACACATGCACGCACACACACGCACACACACCCACAAATATACACAAACACGCAAACACACACACACACGCGCGCATATATATAT